GAAATGGAGTTCAATATATATATATATATATATATATATCATAAATAAATATTCTTAATTACAAATAAACATAATACGCAAATATATATGAAAATCAGTATTCATATTTTGTTATATAACTTTTGAAATCATATTATATAACAATATTATAACATTATAATATAAAGATTACATTATTATTTTAATCATCTTTTGGATATGCTATTATCTTAAGCTAATAAAATTATTATTTGCCTTTTAAAAAATATTGTAATTGAGTGCTCTAATAGACATATTCAAAACATTGTTCTATAGATAAAGAGTAAAGGTTGAAGATTGAATTAGAAAAAAAAAAAAAGACATTGAAGCTCTAATATTCATCTAATCCCTAAAGACTATATATATCATAGAACTTTTAATAGAGAAGGGAACAATCTTTGTATAAAGTTGAAAAATTCTCTTTGTCTTAACAATTTTCTTTTTCATACTTATTGTAACCCAATAAATTTTTTTGAAATAAAATAAATAACTTTTAGTAAAAAAAAATTATATTATGAATTTAATTAATTAATTAAGTTATAATATAAATAATATTTTTATTAATTAAATAAAATAAGAAGGGGTGAGAAAAGGAAGAAGAGTTTAGGTTGGACTTTGAACCTAACTTGAAGGCTTTTAAAAACATAAATAAGGGTTAAGTTTTCATTACACATCCTTCTGAAACCCTTAGAGCATCTTCAAAGGAGGCTACTAGAGAGTGCGGAGTAGCCACTAGGCTATGGGGAGTGTGTTGTACTATGGAATTGCCAATCAATATAAGGTAGAGTGAGAATGTCACATCTATGAGCACATATGAGGGGTATGAATAGTGAGACGATCTCTAAACCTTTTAAGATATTGATTTAAAATTGTTTAGATGTGTGTGAGGATGATTATTAATCGATTGTTATTTTGTTTTGTAACTTCGTTAATTATGATGATTGATTGAGATTTGTTATGTGATTTGGGAGTAGGTTTGTATTACGATTTGGGAGTTTTTGTGTGGTTTGATTGATTTTTTAAATTTTGGTAAGAATATATCTTGGTACTTAAGTAATTTTTCTTTGCGTGATTAACTAAATAGAGTTTTATTTATTGGGTTTGAAAGTAGAATTTTGAGGTTATAATTTAAATTCAAGAATCACATAAAAATATTAAGAAACGGTCGAGTTATGTAAGTCATCACATTAGCCTCACGTTTTGTGTGTGAAAAGTGATGTTTGCAACTTGTAAGTCTTATGATGACCCTTATATGATTGAATTGAGTTTTGTGGTACTAATAAGAGTTGTAGCCTTGAGTGTTTGCTTTCCAATGATGTTGGAATCACCAAAAAAGGAAGTTTAAAACTCAAGTTATGTTCAAATTAGTGAGAGAAGGTCAAACTATCAATATTAAGCTAAAATATTACAATTTTGTAATTTTTAAAAATAATAGATGGTAAAATCAACTTTTGAGGTCAATATAGAAGTTGTAGATAATTATCTTAACTTTCGAATAAAATTAAGATCAATTTTAGATCATAGTATAACTTTAGATATCCAATTTAGACCAGGCCATGTACATAGAAGCTTAAGATAAGAAGAGATAATTTATGAGTAATAATTGTGAGTTGATTTATTCTTTAAGTACCTATATGTGATATAAGTAATGTAATGTATAATATTATGATGTGTAATGATGTTTGAGGTTTGATGATCGTGATGTTTGTGGTTTGACGCCGACAATGTTATAATTGAGATGTTATGATAATGATGTTATAATGATGAGTGTCATAATATGTAATGTACGGATAATGATGTATAATGATGATATGTGTATGAGATGGTGTTGATGATAACATGAAATATGAAGTGATGATGTTGATGAGATGTGTAAGTCTGGGCTACGGTTGACAATTATGAGATCCAAGCAAGGTTTGGTGTTTGTGGAGAAGTTAAGGGCTACAGTTTGACAAAGTGTCATCACATGATTATTCCATATATGTTTAGTGTTGTTGTGGTTTGTGGAGTTCATGCATACATGTTTTGTTGTAGGATAGTGTGAGTCTATATAGGTATGTCTTAAAGGTCATCTACCTAGACCTTGAGGATGGTGAGAAACCTCTTACAGGTGATATAAGGCAACAATGACTAGTTATAACATTTCGACAGAACACTAATAAACTCTCCTAGTTGAGTATAGACTGAGAGGGATCACCATGGATAGAGTGGTTCCTACACCATGGACCAAGGGGGTCCTTACACCATGGATGAGATGGTCTCGTTCTATGACTCCTAGGCTATCTTTATTTTGATGATGATGAGATGATTGATACCGCATGCATATGAGTTAGTTATATACATTGCACAAGTTTTTGTATTTTAATGGAAAGTGTACTGGTGAGACCATTCGGCCACCTGGTTCGGCCATTCGGCCACCTTATGACCGATACCCAATCGGCACCCAGATGATCGAACCAGGTGGCCGACCGCTGGTCGGCCACCAGATGATCCATAAGCTCAGATTCCTCCTAATCAAGAATCAAGAATTACCCCTAATTAAGGATTAAGAGTTAATCACACCAATAAGCCGATTAGAGGCGTATTACCTAATATGGTAATCCTGTTGCAGGGCCCACGGGAATCCGGGCCCATAAATGTCAGTATAAATAGCTCATCTCACGAGGTAACGTCACTGTTCATTAATTATCATTGATATCTGTGTTTTGTTCTGACTTGAGCGTTAGAGTGCCTTTTGCAGGTACCTCCCCCTCACCGGGATATTCGATTGGAGCACTCGTTTAGCCTTCAGAATACGAGAAGATTACTAGTGTGCCCTCCAGACAGGTACATTTTGGCGCCCACCGTGGGGCCGAACGAACATAGTTGGAAGATTAATTGAGCAGAACAATGGCGATAACAAGGAGAACAAACACACAGGATCACCAAACCAAAGAAGAAGAACATGTTGAGGTAGTTGACGAAACGGACCTTTCTGAAGCTGTTCGGTTATTAAAGCAGGAAATGGTGGTTATGAAGCAACAACAGGAGAAATACGCGCAAGAACTGTCGGCTTTAAGAACCGAAAATGCTGCGTTGAAAAATCAAGATCCGTCATGGAAGCCTACTCAAAATACCAACACGCAAACCCAGGGGTCCTATCAATCCCATGAGGTCCACACCTCGGCTCCTCATGCCTCGGCGGCGGCACCTCCAAAAATCCTCTCGGCTCAACCTACCGTTGGTCGTCCTACAGACTTGGCCACTGTGGGATCGCACCGTCACCCCTTCACCCCCTCCATTATGCAGCTACCTCTAATGGATAATTGGAAATCCTTGCCTATTGATAAATATGATGGTACAACAGATCCTGATGAACATCTTGATGTTTTTTTGACGTAGGTGACGTTGAGTACAACTGATGATGCTGCCTTGTGCCGGATTTTTCCAACGTCTCTCAAAGGCAAGGCCCTGAGTTGGTTTACTCGGCTCCCTCCTAACTCCATTGACTCATTCAACACTTTGTCTTCTCAGTTCACCATCCAGTTTGCAACGAGTCGCCCTCACAGTTTGATGTCTCTATCTCTGGTCGGCCTTCGACAAGATAAGAAAGAGTCACTCCGATCTTTCATGGATCGATTTAACAAGGTAGCCTTGGAAATCCGAGACCTCAATCCCGCCGTGGCACTTCATCACCTCACAACGGCCTTGAAGCCAAGCCCGTTCGTCAATAGTATTTGTAAGAAACCCCCTTCGGACATGAATGATCTACGAAGGAGAGACGACAAGTACATGCAAATGGAAGAGTTGGCGGAATATCGTAATCAAGCCCGCACTGAACCAGTAAATAAGACAGAAAAGCAAATGGAACAACCATTCAGAGGCCGAGGTAAAGAAATAACACTAAGAGATCGACCCATGCGTGGGCCGAAACACTCTCATTATACTCTCATCTCGGTCTCGCTCTTCATATCAACCTCGACACCATGATCGGCATACACAAGATCATTCTGATAGGCCTCGGCGTGAAAGGAGCAGGTCACGAGACAGGAAGGACGACCCGACGCCTTTGCATAGGAGGGTCATTAACACAATCGCAGGTGGATTTGCGGGCGGGGGCTCAACTTCTTCAGCCCAAAAAAGGCACCTGTGAGCCATCCGATCGGTTCACGCTGTCGATAGGCAAACTTCCCGAAGATTGCCAACTATAACTTTCAATGATGCTGACTTTCAAGGCATTGATCTGGTGCAGGACGATCCAATGGTGATTAGTGTAGAAATTCACAATTGCATAGTCAAGAAAACATTGATCGACCAGGGCAGTTCGGCGGACATCTTATATTGGAATACCTTCAAGCAGTTGGGTATCTCCGAAAAAGAGTTAATCCCTTATGATGATCCCTTGGTTGGTTTTGCAGGAGAAAGGGTAAGCACCAAGGGGTATATTAAACTTTTCACTCGTTTCTGTTTTGACGAACAGGAAAGCAGGGATATTCAAGTAAAGTATATCGTGGTAGATGCTAACACATCTTATAACATCCTCCTCGGTCGACCGTCATTGAACATGCTAGGGGAAATTGTCTCGACACCGCACCTAGCAATGAAGTTTCCATCCGATAAGGGGAAGATCATCACGATCCACGCCGATCAAAAAGCCGCTCAAGAGTGTTATTTCACTAGTTTGCAAATATATCCCATGGAAGAAAGAAAGTCAAAGTCCAAGAGGGTTCATGTTGTTGACCCTTCGACTTCGGTTGAGGGGTCAGTTTGGGACCTTGACCTGAGGATGAATGACGAGGAACACGTAGAGCCAATTGAATCAAAGATTTAGCTACAAATCGGGTCGCATCCAACTCAAGTTACATACATCGGTGCCGATGTATCCGAAGAAGATCGTTCCACCCTATGCCGTGTGATAATGAAAAACCATGATCTTTTCGCATGGACACCGTCCGACATGCCCGACATAGACCCAAATGTCATGTGTCACAAATTATCAATTTGAGTCGAGGCAAGGTCGATGCTCAGCGTAAAGTTCACTACACCACTTGGTTGGCAAATGTGGTAATGGTGAAAAAGTCGAACGAAAAATGGAGAATGTGTACTGACTACACTAATCTCAATAAAGCATGCCCGAAAGATGCTTTTCCACTCCCAAATATCGATTGGCTAGTTGATGGTGCCTCCGGACACAAGGTCCTCACCTTTCTTGATGCTTATTCGGGGTATAATCAAATCCCCATGCATCCCCGCGACGAGGAAAAGATGGCCTTCATAACTGATTCGGCCAATTATTGCTATCAGGTAATGCCCTTTGGATTGAAGAATGCAGGTGCAACCTATCAGAGGTTGATGAATAAGGTTTTTCGACACCAACTCGGTAGAAATATGGAGGTGTATGTCGACGATATGGTTGTCAAATCCGGAGACCTTGCCAAACACGTAGCTGACCTTTCGGAGGTATTCCAACAGTTGTGCAGGTATGACATGAGGCTAAACCCGAAGAAGTGTGTATTTGGGGTATTAGGTGGAAAATTCCTCGGCTTTATACTATCAGCAAGGGGAATTGAAGCCAATCATGACAAGTGCATGGCGATCGTCAACATGGTAAGCCCTCAGAAACTCAAAGAAGTTCAGAAGTTAGCAGGATGGCTCACAGCTTTGTTAAGATTCCTCCCATGTTTAGTCGAGATAGCAAAACCCATCGTTGGATTGTTGAGGAAAGTAAAAAAATTTGAATGGTCCGTCGAATGCGAAGAAGCTTTTCATATGTTGAAGGAACGCCTCGGCTCTCCCCCCGATCATTCAAAACCTGATCCTGAGGCTGATATGGTGGTCTATTTATGCGTATCAAATGAAGCAATCAGTGCTGTTCTGATTCAAGAAAAAGGGGGGCAACAACCCATTTACTTTATTAGCCGCATGTTACAGGAGGCCGAGACAAGATATCAGCTTCTGGAGAAGGTGGCATTGGGACTTGTTCATACTGCCCGGCGCCTTCGGCAATATTCTCATAGTCATCGTGTCGTAGTCTGAACTGACTGCTCGATCGCCAAGGTTTTGCGTAAACCAGAATTAGCAGGACGGATGATGGCCTGGTCAATCGAACTATCAGAGTTTGATATTAGTTTTGAACCACGACGTCCGGTCAAGTCTCAATGCTTGGCAGATTTTGTTAATGAATTGCAGCCGAAGGGCCACTTTGTGAGTGATTTGTGGATAATGCATGTCGATGGCTCCTCAAACAACCAAGGTAGTGGAGCCGGTATAATCCTCGAGGGACCAACAAGATTGACTCTCGAGCAATCTTTGAGATTTGCGTTCAAAGCTTCAAACAACCAGGCTGAATATGAAGCATTGTTGGCAGGTTTAAGACTTGCACAAGAGATCGGGGTCAGACGATTGACGTGTTGGACCGATTCGAAAGTAGTAGCAGAACAAGTAAATGATAACTTCTAGGTGAAAGATTCCAACTTGTTAAAGTACTATCATTTATTTCAAAGGATGTGCAACACTTTTGATGAAGTTCAAGTGAAGCACACGCCGAGAGAGCATAACGAGAGGGCCGATCAGCTAGCTTTAGCCAGCAGTACTTGGAAGCCTGGACAGTTACGAACCACACTTCACCTTGACCTTACAACTCTGAGTGTAAGCTCAATCGAATGCATGACGGTTGAGGAACCCACCCGAACATGGATGGCCAAAATAGTTGAGTACCTTGAACATGGTAAAGAGCCATTGGACCCGGCCGCCGCTAAAAAAATCCGAACACAGGCTGCCAGATATTCAATCGTGGGAGGAGAATTATACCGCAGAGGTTTTTCAGTCCCATTGTTGAAGTGTATCGATTCGGAACAAGCGGACTATGTCTTGAGGGAGATTCACGAAGGAATATGTGGTTTTCACTCGGGAGGACGAACCTTGGCCACAAAGGTGCTTCGGGCAGGGTATTACTGGCCAACCCTCAAGAATGATTGCGTACAGTTTGTTAAGCGTTGCGTCTCATGCCAACGGCACGGCAACCTTATTGACGCTTCGGCCGAAGAACTACACGGTATTAGCTCACCTTGGCCTTTCGCATTGTGGGGAATGGATATCCTCGAACCATTCCCAATTGCTAAAGGCCAATGCAAGTTTTTGTTAGTTGCGGTTGATTACTTCACAAAGTGGGTCGAGGCCGAGCCACTGGCCAGCATCACAGCTGCTAATGTTTAGAAGTTTTTGTGGAAGAACATCATTACTCGCTTTGGCATTCCACACGCCCTCATAAATGACAATGGTCTGCAATTTATTGATCAAAAACTCAACCGGTTTATTCAAGATCTCGGCATTAAACATAGGTTCACATCAGTAGAACACCCACAATCCAACGATCAAGCCGAAGCGGCCAATAAAGTGATCCTTACTGAATTAAAGAAGAGGTTGGGAGATGCCAAAGGAGCTTGGGTCGACGAATTGTTAGAGGTCCTTTGGGCTTATCGGTGTACACCTCAATCCACAACTAAGGAGACACCTTTTCGGCTAACATATGGTACCGACGCCATGATCCCTGTCGAAGTGGGGGAACCATCCTTTCGGCGGCAACATTTTGAGGAGAACGCTAATGAAGCATCACTCAGAGCCGAAATAGATATGATTGAGGAGGATCGCACCAAGGCCCAGATCATAGCCGAAGCTTGTAAACAGCGAATGGCCAAACGGTTCAACTCTACACTCTCCAAAAGAGAGTTTCATGAGGGAGATCTCGTCTGGAGAGTACAGGGATCAGCAAGACGTAACCCTAAAGAAGGCAAGTTAGCTGCCAACTGGGACGGCCCATTCAGAATCCGACATAACCTGCATAACGGAGCATACAAACTGAAAGAACTTTCAGGAAAGATCATCCCCAGGACGTGGAATTCAACTCATTTAAAGACTTACTTTAGTTGATTTGTAACTGATGTACATCCATGGTGCACTCTTTTCCTTGATCGGTTTTTTTCCCCCTTATAAAAATGTGAAAAGGGGTTTTGGCTGACAAGGTTTTTAACGAGGCACCCATTAATGAAAGACAGATTCACTTCATCCTTCTCACTCTTACTCTCGTCTGAATTAATATATACAAAAAAGGCTTCCCTCCCGAGTTGATCAACTCGGCTAAGGATGTGCCTCGGAACTCGTAAAAAAGGCTTCCCTCCCGAGTTGATCAACTCGGCCAAGGATGTGCCTCGGAACTCGTAAAAAAGGCTTCCCTCCCGAGTTGATCAACTTGGCCAAGGATGTGCCTCAAAACTCGTAAAAAAGGCTGAATGGGTTCATTCGGTTGTCTTAAAAAGCAAGCAACACCGAATGGGTTCATTCTGTTCCCTCATAAAGTAAACAGCACCGAATGAGTCCATTCGGTTTTCTCTAAAAGGTATTACCCACGGGTACGGGTTTATTTGCCATCCCTAATCTAGGCTATGTACATATACATGTCTTGTTTGTATTTGGCTATCTAGTGTGTATTCCTACACCGTAAGCTAGAGTGAGATGTTTCTCACTCCTTTTTCTTTTGTGTTGTTTTCCTTTAATTGCTATACAGGTAATCATCAGCATGAGGATGAGGATGTTGGTGATGAAACTTAGGCTTCAATGTTGGGCTTTGCTATGATAGGACATGTGACATCGGGGCCTGAATAGGATTAGATTAGGATGTTGTTTCTATTAAATTATTTTTGAAAACCTTAGCCTTATTTCTTTTGTAATTTTCACTGATTATGTTATTTATTTAAGTCATAGATGTGATGCTCTTTATCTAAACACGTTTGGTATTTTAATAATGAAAGATTGTGTTATTCAAGTTTTATTATTTATGTGTTATGGTATGCGGGATATAAGGTATCACACATGTAGTTTATAAAAAAAATCACCTAGCATAATTACACTTCTTTATTTTCCATCCCAAAGTTCAATTAACTTTTAAATGTTTATAAATTATTTTTCTTAGTTTTAATGTGGACCCGTTGTTGTTAAGAAAATGGAAATATTTTTATTTTATAAGAAATTATTATATGATAAGAGATTATCATAGTTACAATTAATTTTCACATTGTATAAAAAAAATCTCACATAACATGTAATTGAATATTATTAATTATCTTTCATATAAATTGACAAACTCAACTCCCGTCAGGTAGAAATAAATTGAGTAATCAATATATAGTAAAGGGAAAATAAATTATTAGTTATTTTTGGTATATGGGAAAAGAAGAGAAGAAAATGGAATGAAAAGGTGGATCCCATAAATCTCACATGTTTTTTAGCACCCAAAAATAAAGAGTAGATTTGAAGGAAATACAAACATGAGACTCATTCTATGACCGCGTCTTTGGTGTCAGGGGTACATTTGTAAATTAATTTATAATATTATTTTTAATTTTTAATTTCTTTCAATATAACCTAATGAAAAATTTAATCATCCTCTGATACTTCACTGCTTTTCTCCTATCAAATAATTTTAACTTTCACTTTATTTTTCATTTATTTCTCTTCTTCTTTTCTTATTTATTTCCTTTATTTCACTTTCATCTTAACTATCAGACACCAAACACAATATTAATAAATAAAAAAATTATAATACCTATATTATTTGAGAAAATACCGATATAATTATAATTATAATTTTATTTTATATTTTATATTTTTAATAATTTGTTTAAATAATATTTATGATATTTTATTTTTTATTTTTTAAATTATTTAATTATTTAATTTTTATTTTCTGTTTTAATTTTATTTATAATAATATTATTATATATTTAAATAGTTTAATTTTAATAATTTTTTAAGTATATTTTTATCTTTTTACTTAAATTTTTGAATTTCTATATTATAATAATTTTTATTTTTATTATTGATCAATTCTTTTTTTAATGTTTTATAGAATTATTTAAATTTTATAATTTTAATCTCTATAATTTTATTTTATTTTTTATTTTATAAATATAATTTAAATTATTAATTTTATAATTAAATTAGTATTTATTTTAAATTTTTTGTAAGTTTACATAAGAAAATATACTAAAATTCTTCCATCTTTGAGGGGTAGGTATCAACTCTTTATTAATAATTAATTACATTACATCATATATTCTATTAGTGTCTTCTTATTCCTTTCTTCATTATCGAACTACTAAAGAATCATCTAATTGTCTCATTTTCCATTTTCTTCCCTTCTACTTTTTTCTTCTAAACCAAAGTAAACGGTAAGAATCTCTTATAAAAATAGGCAGACTAAAATGATTTTGTTTCTTTCACTGCACTAAGACGTACGAGTCCAGGAGAGGAATTGTTTGACTTTGATTTGCTTACTCCCCTGACATGCCACGATTTTGAGTTAACCTTCATCATGTGAGGCTTCTATTCTATGTGACCGATTGAACGTCAACGACCACTCCTCTCCCTGGATCAAAACACATAAGACCGCTAACTAAAGCTTATCTCATCATGTTTTCCTCAGTCCTCCCGAAAACACCCAAAATCCAATCACACACATGCACATCCAGGTTTACGTTACATTGCACTATAGACACATGCTTTCAATAGTAAGACACACGTCACAACCAAAAACCATCCCACCACGACGTGTCACAACCCCCAAGCATGCCTGCCACGTGTCCACCCACCCACCGACCCTCCCCACCACCACCCGGCGAACCTTTCTACAAGCCCACGTGTCACTCACAAACAACCCTCCCCAACCCATCCATACACAGCACAACCCTCTCGTCTCATTCATATAAATCATCAAACCCTCACTTCATTCTCCCACACCCACATATACAACAAAAAATCATTCCATTCCATTCCATTCCATTACATTACATTACATTCGAGTGTTGAAAAAGTAGGCATACAACTTCAATGGCGTCAAAGCAACAGCAACGGGAGGATCGAGCCGAGGCAGCTGCAAAACAAGCTGCCAAAGACCTGGAGCAAGCCAACAGAGAAAGAGACCACACTACAAGCTCCGTGGACCAGCACCACCATGACCTCGATGAACAAAAGCGCGGCGTAATCGGGTCCATGCTAAGAGCGGTGCAAGGCACCTACGAGAACGCCAAGGAAGCCGTGGTTGGTAAGAGAGACCCCTACACCACAGAGGTAATCCACGATGTCACCATCCAACCCGACCATGACGTGGCAACCGGAGAAGTCAGAGACATTTCAGCCACCAAGTCCCCCGGAATCTACGACTCTTCTGCCACTGACAAGGATCCTGCTTCTCAGAAGGCAAAGGAAACCAAAGATGCAACCAAGCAGAAAGCTAAGGAAACCAAAGATGCAACGGCGCAGAAAGCTGGAGAGTACACAGACTATGCTTCTCAGAAGGCAAAGGAAACCAAAGATGCAACGGCACAGAAAGCTGGAGAGTACACAGATTATGCTTCACAGAAGGCCAAGGAAGCGAAAGATGCAACGGCGCAGAAAGCTGGAGAGTACACAGACTATGCTTCTCAGAAGGCAAAGGAAACCAAAGATGCAACGGCGCAGAAAGCTGGAGAGTACACAGACTATGCTTCTCAGAAGGCGAAGGAAACGAAAGATGCAACGGCGCAGAAGGCTGGAGAGTATTCAGATTATGCTTCTCAGAAGGCGAAGGAGGCGAAGGATAAGACCATGGAGAAGGGTGCAGAGTATAAGGACTATGCTGCTGAGAAGGCTAAAGAAGGGAAAGACAGCACTATGGGGAAGCTTGGGGAGCTGAAGGAATCTGCTACGGAAGCGGCTAAGAGGGCTGTGGATTACTTGAGTGGGAAGAAAGAGGAAACCAAGGAGAAGGCGGCGGAGGCCACGGAGGCCGCCAAGGATCGAACCGCCACGGCGACGGAGGCGGCGAAGAATAAAGCTGTGGAGATGAAGGACAAGGCTGCGGATACTGCTGAGGCAGCGAAGAACAAGGCTGCGGAGACAGCTGAGGCAACAAAGAACAAGGCTGCAGAGAAAAATGAGGAAGCGAAGAACAAGAGAGCTGAAACTGCCGAGGCAACAAAGAACAAGACTGCGGAGACTACTGAGGCAGCCAAGAATAAGGCTATAGGGATGAAGGATGCAGCTAAGAACAAGGCCTCAGAAACTGCTGAGGCAGCAAAACAGAAGACTGCAGAGGCAAAGGCAAATGATAAGGCCAAGGTCTCATTCTTATTCTAAATCTCCCCATTAAATTTGTTATTTCATTTATAATATGACTATATCATTCATAATATGTGACCATCATTTATATTTTATAATATGCCAACTATGATCTTGTAATATATATCACCATCATATGGAGTGTTTGTAGAGGAGCTTATGCATGTTGGAATTGTGTTGGTGTTTGGTGTGATGCAGGAAAATGTGAGAGGTGCAGATGAAGGTGCTAGGAGGAAGATGGAGGATCTGAGGCTGGGAGGTGAAGCCAAGGGGCGTGGGGACAACGTGGTGGTGAAAGTGGAAGAGAGTCGACCAGGGGCGGCGGCGGAGACACTTAAAGCGGCGGATCAGATTGCGGGACAGACCTTCAACGATGTGGGACGCATGGATCAAGAGGGGGTCGCCAAAGTTGAGCGCCGTAACAAATGAAATTAATGTGTCCTATTAATGTTCAATAGTGCTATTTGTGTAATATGTACGTGAAGTTTGTGTAGTGTATTTGGAGTATATGTTTTTGTTGCTTGTTTTCGGAGGGACCACTATACCTTCTGCTTGTCTCTTCAAAATGTGTTTGTACGGTCTTCAACATTGGTTCTCGGAACCATTACATTAATAAAAACATCGTGCGCGTTCTTGTATAATCTTGATGGTGACTGGAATCTGTCATTACATCCATCTAACTGTGTCTTTCAATATGTCTTTCAATACATGGCTGATTTGTTATCAATTTGTTATCAATCTAAATTATAGTATATCCAATTAACTAGTCTCCCCCCAAATTTTCCGTCATTGTTCTAGCCAAATTGCTTATAGCTTGCTGTCTTCTTTGGGAAAACAAATTCAACTTTAGCTGTTGTTTGAGCTATAACCTCTTCTTTGATTAGCATGCATGAAAAACATTACTGCCAAATAAAATAAAGTGCTCTTGGAATCATTGGACTACATGTTCAATCACTATCTGCAACTGTAAAGCCTTGAAGTTTCGCATGTCAATGTCACCGTTATTCTTCATATACATGATAGATACATCATATCTTGTCTGCTGTATAAAGAATTTGACTTAACAATCGACTACAGAAATTTTTAAGTAGATTTCCACTAATAAATATCAAATCTGACCTGGTAGGTATAATAAGTTTTCAATCAAATTTCTACAGACAAAACCATAATCTTTGAGTCATCTTAAATTTGAGAAGTCCTTTCGTAGTAGTGTACCTATTGGTTTGCTCTTTTCCGTACGTAACTTCAACATTTCTATAGTACACTAATTACTTATCCTATAGGAAATTCTAATCTTACAAATTAATAATTTGTGGGGTTGAGTTGATAATAGTTTCAAAGACATTCTAAAGTTACATATTAGAATATTAATTTGTGGGGTTGAGTTGATAATAGTTTCAAAGACATTCTAAAGTTACATATTAGAATATTTTATTGGGAAGATGAATTTATATTCCCGTGCTATTGGATTGATTCTGATTCCAAAGAAAAGTACTTCATCTCTCCGAGATCAAACTTCTGGAACACGATCTCCATATCTAACTTGAACTACCTTTTATGATGAGCGGAATTTTTGAATCAGAGGGTTTTCTTTCCGAAGCATATCACCTGTAATTATGGATAATATATCACGTTTTAATTAGGAAGAACAAATTTCCACTTTTAGCCTTTTCTTTTTAAGAAAATAAGTTGTTTGCAGAATGAAAACAGTTTAAATTTGTTGACTGTCTATTCTATAAAATATAAGTTGTTGTTTTTGTGAACCGAAAATTTGAGGTATATTTTATTTCTGACAGTTTTTTTTTCTTTTTCTTTTAAGCTGATTTTTTTAATTCATTTCTTTTAAGCTGGTTTATCATATAAAAATTATTGCTTTTTATATTAAACAGAATTAAATATCTTGATATCACTTTTCTTTTCGAAAAATTTATTACAAAATTAGTCATATAATTCATTATTCAATAATTTATTTTTTACAACTTTCTCATTCATGTTAATTAATTTTCTTTTTTGCTTTTTGTAATTGGATCGACGTACAACGTTTGAGAGCTTGAGAAATATAAGCTAAAATGTATATACAATTCTTTCAAAGGTTTGGCCCATCGGTTTGGGCCTAATATATAAAAGCTAAAGTATCATATATATTTCTTTTAAAAGTTTTGAATAATAAAATTCAGATTGATAATACCAATTAACGTAACAAAATATGAATACAATTACAAAAGATAGAAAGATAAAAGAGAAGTTCTTATAAATAATACTGATAATATTTATGACGGATTCATAAAAATAATCGTTTTTCATTATTACATTATTCTAAATTGCAATCCATTAAAAAGTATTTCAAAAATTTCCATATATGAAACTATCGACTTATCAAATTTTACTAGAGAATTTCTACGGTACCCTCTGTAAAAGAAGGGTACTGGTACTGTCGATGACATGTCGATGATGTGTGATCCAAATCACTTATAATTTTATAATTATTTACAATTCAATATCCACGTCAATTATAATGAAATTCACGTTTTTTAATATTTTTTTAGAGTGTTTGTTTCGTGTTTCTTCCTTTTTTTTTTTTGAAATGTTTGCTTCGTGTTTCTTCCTCTCAGCGGTAATGGTCCCCAATAGGGTTATCACAGGGCTTGGGAGGGGAACCAGTGAGGAGCAAGATGCGGGGTTTACCTCTCACGAAATTAGGGTATTCGGGGTTTTGGAGGAGCCAAGCCTTGCGTTCTTCGTCCCAATTGCGGATCTTGGGGCCCAGGCTGTAGGTCACGTTAGGGTTCAAGGGGGCTTGCTCGTCGGGGTCGTTGGGGTCGGCGTCGGAGCGGATCTCGGCCAGGATGCGGTTGGTCTCCTCCACGAGATTCTGGTTGACGGCGTCGGCGTCGGAGGAGCCGAGGTTGACGCCGATGGTGCCGCGGAGGACGAGGATGTCGTCAGAGACAAAGGTAACCTTGGAGGAGTCATGGTCGACGGTGGAGAGGAGGGAATAATGGAAGGCGGAAGAGGTGGGGAGGGAGGAGTGGTAAATGGCTGTGGCGAGGGAGTTCAAGAAGTAGGGAGAGGGGTTGAGGCGGAGGGGAGGGGAGGGGAGTGGGAGACGGAGGGGCAAGGGAGAGGTGGGAGACGGAGGGGAGAGGGAGAGGTGGGAGACGGAGGGAGGGGAGAGGAGATCGTATAATTATAAAAATATTAATAAAAACTTAAAAATAAATAATGTAAAAATTTAAATATAAAATAATTTTTATTTAAAAGGTTGACATAGCATTTGACATGGTATTTAGATGATGTATACATATACACATTAACTACAGTACCAAAACCCCTCATTTATCAGGGGTACAGTAGCAACTCCCTTTTTATTAATATTATTTTTAGGCTAGATAGGATGAAACTCTTGCTCCAGTTTTACTCTCTTAAGTACCGTGTCTTAATTTATATATTGAATAAAACATAATTTATGCTAGTTATTATACTAAAATATTTATATGTTTTAATATTATTTTTTTTAAGGCAGATTTATTTATTAAAATCAGTTGCACACATGATGTGTCCATTGAAACAAATACACTATTACATGTTGCATATCACTTTATAATATGCTTACAAATCAAAATTGCCCAAAAGTAAGTGTTAGAAATTAGAGGTGACCACACACTTATACATGTCTTTACATTGATAAGATATTATCTATTTTGGGTCCAACTCTCACGATTTTACTTTTAAATACCACCCAAAAGGTTTCGGGCCAACTCTTATGGTTTTGCTTTTAGATAACACTCAAAAGACCTCTTTTCTAATGAAGACAATTTTGTGTATATAAACACATGTTCATTCTCTTGTTTGAATGATGTGGGACTTTGCTTGTATCCCAACAATCCTCCCCTCAAACAAAGGACTACGGTTTACCCCCTACAGTAGAAACTATTGATCAAAAGGCCTCAGGCCCAACCCCCATGGTTTTGCTTTTAGATAACACTCAAAAGGCCTCTTTTCCAATGAAGACAATTGTATGTATATAAACCTATGTTCATTCTCTTGTTTGAATGATGTGGGACTTTGCTTGTATCCCAACAATCTTCCCCTCAAACAAAAGACCACAATTTATCCCTTATAGCATAAACTATTGATCCACGAGTATTTTTTTCTATCATGACCTCACGACAGCAGGACAAGCCTCCTAATCGTTAAGAAGACTTTCGACAGCCAAAACTTAAATCTATTTTCCGGTCATCATACTTGTCGAGTCGGTCACCTGATCAGAGGCTCTACACACCTCCTAACCCTCCACTATTAGGAAAATTTTTGACATAAGGGATCCTAAACTTGGATCTACCTGCCAACCATCATACTCGTCGAGCCGGTCACCTAATTAGAGGCTTTGATACCACTTGTTGAGAATCGGGAGTTACCACACACATACACATGTTTCCACATTGGTAAGATATTATTCGTTTTGGGCCCAGTTCTCACGATTTTGCTTTTTGATACCACCCAAAAGGTATCTTTTTTAATGGAGATAATTGTGTGTATATAAACTCATGTTCATCCTCTTGTTTGAATGATGTGAGACTTTGCTTGTATCCCAACATTAAGTCTCTACCTTTCAAAATTATATAAACTCACTCACAGATTTTACCCTCATACGTTATACACCCAACAAGTAACTATGATCAAAACATAATTGTACGAGACTCACTCAACATAGAATATCCTATAAAAACAATCATTGCCACTGTGCTATCCTCATTTGGCACTTGTATAAAATACCTCCATATTGTATTTTTGTGATATTCTTTCTTTGACATGTTACTGTTTATGTTGATATGTTAGCTTCTATCCTGAACTAAAACTTTCTTATGACTTCATGTCAGACCTCTTAATAAATTATCACCACATGCTTGACAAGATGGTGTTGTTTCAATGAAGAAACATCACCAAACATTGTGGAAATCCACCACTTGAAAATAAACTATTTAAACTCCTCATCAAGAGTCATCTCCGATATATGTATATATATGGTTGTATCATATTCTTGATTAAGTAATCAATAAATATGATTGAACCATGTATTGCTCCCAACAATGAGGTATCAGGTTTTGTAGAAATCTGTATAACCATATATTATCCACCGATATTTATACCCACAAGTCATTTAAATTTCCCATATGATTTTATTGTACTCAGTGGTGATGCAAGATGCGTGTTATCATTCCTTTATTTATTTTACACATTTGTAGTAAGCCTTCATCGTCTTATTAAGGCCAAATACAGGCTTAAATGTTGTTTACCCAATGACTCAATTTAAATTGTGTCTCTATTGAGACCAAATATAGGCTTGAATGTTGTTTGTCCAATAACTCAATTTAAATTTTGTATCCCTATTCATCTTATACAACAACTACAAGCAAAAGAACATCATTTCATACATAATACCATCATGGTCAAAAGATACATTATTAAGAATGATGATTTTTGTGCTCCACACATTTTACAAGATTGAGCATCACATTATCATCTATGCTTTCACATCTGCCCTTGCAAGTTGCAACTTCAATTTGGCATGTTTTATAAAATTTTGTTTGGAATCTTGATGCAACATCATATGTGCTCCCACCCACCTATAACATGTCAC